CGTGAACGCGTTCAAGTTTGCGCGCGTCGCGCCACGCGAGCTCATACGTCTTGGGCAGTGTCCACGAGCATGCTCGGGGATACTACCACACCGTGCCAGGCCTCAACTCGTTTGGGAACTCCTTGACTCGGGTGATCAAGATGTTCGTCAACTCCTCGTACATCCGGACAGCAGCGCTATTGAGCGGACCCCTCTCGCTTTCGCCTCTCACAACGATCTTGGGTTCGTGTGGGCGTTGTCCAGAGGTATAGGCTTTGAGCTCCTTCTGCAGTTGATTCGCGCGTTGGATCTCGCCGTCTCGTTCTTGCTTGAGGTCACGGACTGACTTGTGGTCAGCCAGTGAAGATGGCAGGGACAACACTATCATTGTACACACCTTCATCTTCGAGCTCCTTGATACGCGCATCCTTGCCTTCCGAAGCAGCGACGGCCTTGTCAAGCTTAGTCTGTAGCTCGAGCTTGTCCTTCTCCGCCATTTCAGGTGTCAAGATCTGCAGGAAATGAGAGCCGTCAGGGGGTACGAGCGTCGCCTTCTTGCTCCGCCTGAACTCCGCCTCCAACGCGTTGTATTTCTCATCCTTCGCTATATCAAGACTAAGCTGATGAGAATGCGGGCCGCATGTATCGACAAGCTTACCTGCCATAAGCGAGTGTAACTGCGCGATTTGAGTCTGCACGAGTTCCTCCTCTTTCTCCTTGCTTTTCGTATACAGTTCGTAGGCTACGTGTAGGTCCTGTTCTCGAACTTCAGCCTGCGTTCACGGCTGTTCTGTCAGTCATATATTGAACCTCGAGGAGGACAGAACACGCACCTGCTCCAATTGCGTCCTCTGTCGCTCAATCTCGCGTTCCAACGCGCTGATGCGCGAGTCCGAAGCGGGGTTTGCCGGTGAAGTTCCCTTGCCCTTCTGCGCACGCGAGCGTCGAGCAGCAGCAGCGCGCTCATCCTCGCTGTCTCCAATATCGACGGTCTCGACAGGCTTAGCGTCAGCTTTTGCCTTGCCCTTCGCCTTTGCCCTGGTCTTCGTTGGCAATGGAGGTGTCTCGATTTCCTCTGGGCCGTCTGTGTCGATGACCTCGATGTCGGGAGGCGGAGGTGCGTGAATGCGTGGGCGCTTGACGGTGGTTGGTTTCGCCTTGGAAGGACCGGCGCCATTAAGTGATGCGTTCAGTGAGTTTATCTTGGGTGCTGCTGCAGTACGTTTATTCCTCGCAGCTAACTTCGCCGCAGGTGTGGTAGGGTCGAAACCATCTGGACATGAGCGCGTCAGCGGTAGACATCATAGTATAGTACACTATACGAGTAACCTAGCTCATCCATGTCAGCGTCTGATGACATTATGTTTACTCAAAAACGGCAAGTTCGTGTGGGAGGAGTGTGATGGTGGTGTGGCGACAACCTCAGGACGCGAAGCGCGCGCGACGCGACGCGTTCTTGATCAACTTCGGTCGCGTGGTCGTGTGCCTTTGCCTCCAACCACCAACAGCGCGGACCCATATCAGTATTCGTTGCCCCCACGCTGGACACCTCCAACATGAATAGTAGAGGGTATCTCTATGCGAGCATCTTCAGATGTCTGCTATATGCTTGACGGCCAGCGGAGCCGAGCCGCAATAATGATTGTACCCCACATTCCCGATGGAAGACTCTATCTGTGACTCCTATCGAACCTCCTTGCCCTGATCTCTCACCATGGCTTCCCAAGCCTCTCTTGACGCCTACCAGGCGGCTCGCGCGGAGCTCATCGCGTCTGACCGTGCGCTTCGCCGTGATAACGCGCGCATCGCTACTGCAAGCGACGCTGAGAAGCGCGCCGATGAGAAGATACGCGCTCTGCGCGCGAAAGAGGCGCAGGAGATCTGGAACGACGAGAGTATCCCTAATGTGTTTCCTGGGATGGGGTTCTTGGTCTGCAAGGATATCATCGACCGGACAGAGCTATTCCAGATCGTTCGAAAGGTACGCGTCATTTGGCTGTTAATCATAGCAGACCGCTCACATTGCCATAGATGCCGAAAGGCGCTCTTCTACACGCACATCTGGACGCCTGTGTAGACAAGTCGAAGCTTCTCGCGTTCGCGTACGAATATCCTCAGATGCACATCCGCGTAGCGCGCGGCGTAACTCCGGAACGTATGGCAGATCAGCTACCTACCTTCGCGCCACTCGCAATCTCGCCCTTCACAGCCGGCTCGAGCGCCGGGATGAGTGCCGCACAGGGATACGTGGGCGATACATGGGTTCCCGTCGCAGAGGCTAGGAAGGCGTTTGATCCTGCGCTCGGTGGACCGGAAGGCTTTGATAAGTGGATCCTGGATACGCAGATGGTCAACCCCGGAGAGGCGTACGGTACGCACAATAGTATCAGGGAGATCTGGATCAAGTTTATTCAGACCTTTGGTGTCACTTCGGTATGTGTACGCTCAGAACGCTACTATAGCGAGCTGTATCAATGTGAATTCATAGGGTATATTCCGCTTCCGGCCTCTCTTCCGGCGCTACTTTCGACAAGTCTTACTGGACTCGATTGAGGACGGTATATCATACGTCGAGTTCCGCATGAACTTCCAGCTCAAGTCACTCTCATGATAATATGCGTGATCAGCACGACATCTGATGCTCTGCGCAGGTTCATGTACGGCGAAGACTGCGAGGAGAACGTCCCTCACCGAGAGTGGATTCGTGACATAGAGGCCATCGGGAAGGAGGTCAAAGCAGAATTCGATGCCGCTGGCCGTGGAGACGAATTCTTCGGAATCAAAATCATCTATTCCGTCGTTCGACTGCTCTTACCTCAAGAGCTGGAATGGTACACTGCGGATGTGCTGGCCCTCAAGAAAGAGTTCCCCGACATCATCGCCGGTTTCGACCTCGTCGGAGATGAGAACGTTCTGCGACCTCTGAAGTACTACCTCCCGCAACTCTTGAAGTTGAAAGCAGACGCGAAAGAGGCTGGCCTCGACCTTCCGCTGATATTACACGCGGGCGAAACACTCACCGATGGCGGGGAGCCAGATGAGAACATGTACGACGCGATCTTGCTCGGTGCTCCGCGCATTGGACATGGGTACTCTCTGGTGAAGCACCCGAAGCTGATGGAAATTTGTCGCGAGCGTGGTATTGCTATTGAAGTATGCCCCATCTCGTATGTTTCTCTACTACTCGATGAACATGCGCCCTTCCCTGACCCTGACCGCCACAGGAACGAGATCCTTCGTCTTTGTTCATCAATGCCAGCGCACCCTCTTCCTATTCTCCTCAACAACGGTATACCGGTGTCCCTCAACTCTGACGATCCGGCCGTGTTCAACTCTATGGGTATGTCGTACGACTTTTACCAAGTCATCGTATCCAGCGAGATCTCCGGCCTCTCGACTCTGGCGCAGCTAGCTCTTGACAGCCTGCAGGTGAGCGCTTGGAGTATCTCTCCTGCCATGCATAGACTGATATCGATTGCAGTACTCTGTTCTGCCAGACGAGCAGAAGAAACAGGCCATTGCGGCGTGGGAGAGGAGATTTGCGAAATTTGTGGCAGAGTTGTAGACGTATCAGTAACCTAATTTGTCGTTGTTTACGCGGGTGTGAGATGAGAAACGCGCGACGCGCTGGCCTCGCGCGTCTTGCTTCTGACCGTCTTGTGTCCGCGACGAAAGCTGGTAGAGTTCGAGGTACGTTGCATTTTCTACGCCGACCGAGTCGTGCACCCGTTCGCCTTCATTCCTCCTCACCGACGAACGCCTCCTCCAGTCCTCCTCGTCCCGCGCGCCCCATCCCCGCCCTCCGCGTAAATAAATAAAAACCTACACAACCCAAACACCCAAACCCGTCTTGCGTCCGGAATAAAAGAGCAGGAGAACTAAAAGATGCCAGAGCTTGAAACAAACAGGAAGCGCTCTCGCTCGCCCTCGCCGTCCGACGCGCAGAAACAGCACAAGCGCGCCAACACCGGCCAGCACCTCCAAGATGCGTCCTCCACCACCCTCTCAGCCGCCGCCATCCTGGGAACAGAGCCGGCACTTCCCGCCGCCTCTGCGACCCTGAGCAACGCAAATTCGACCGCGTCATCCAAGGACGGCGACGCCGCCACAGCAAATGCCGAGGATGCCGCCTCTTCGCCCGCATCCGCCTCGGCAACAACGACAGCCGGCGCCAGCTCCACCACCAACCCCCCACCGCCGCCCAGCGCCCACATCCACATGCGCTGTTTGATTGTGACGCAAGACGCGAGCATCATCATCGGCAAGGGCGGCAGCCACGTTAACGAGATCCGCGAGAAGTCCGGCGCAAGGGTTATGGTCTCCGAGAGCATCCCCGGCAACCCCGAGCGCATATTAAACGTCAGCGGGCCGCTAGACGCCGTCTCGAAGGTTCGTGTCTTGCGTTCTATTGTGCCCTAGGACAAGAGAACTGATCTAGGGTTATCATTTGTCAGGCTTTCGGATTAATCGTCCGTCGCATCAATGACGAGCCCTTTGACGTCCCCTCTGTACCCGGGAGCCGCGCTGTGACCATCAAGTTCATGATTCCGAACTCGAGGATGGGCTCGGTCATCGGCAAGCAGGGCTCGAAGATCAAGGAGATTCAAGACGCGAGTGGCGCGCGGCTGAACGCCAGCGAGGGAATGTTACCAGGCTCAACCGAGCGCGTGTTGAGCGTGGCGGGTGTCGCAGACGCGATCCACATCGCGACGTACTACATTGGCAACATTCTCATCGAGGCGAACGAGCGGCAACCGGCATACGGGACAACAATGAACGCCACGTACCGCCCATCCAGCCGCCGCGCAGCACCTGGACCCGGCGGACCCGGCGCCGCACCGTACATGGGCAGCTCTTATGTACCCGCGGGCGGCGCACCCGGATATGGCAACCCGTACATGCCAGGACCCGCCGCTCCCCCCGCCGCCAGCCCTCAGCTGCAGACGCAGCAGATATACATCCCGAACGACCTCGTCGGGTGTATCATCGGCAAGGGCGGCAGCAAAATCAACGAGATCCGTCATATGAGCGCCAGTCAGATCAAGATCATGGAGCCTGGGGCGCAAGGCGTCGGTGTGAACGGCGCACCAGCGGGAGGGGAGAACGAGAGGCTGGTCGTCATCACGGGTCCACCGGCGAACATCCAGATGGCTGTTCAGTTGCTGTATCATCGGCTGGAGCAGGAGAAGCAGAAGCAGTTGCGCCAGCAGACGGCTATTTAGGCGGTCAGAGGCGAACAGTAAAATTGCAGCATAGTCTTCGCCGTTCTGTGTTCTCTTGGTGCTCGTCAGCTAGCCTGTCTGGTTTCCATGTCGTATTTTCGTAGCTTATGCCCGCTAGCTTGACACCCTGCACTATTATCATTGCCTCATTGCATCATCACATGTCCTTGGATATTGCTTGTAGGGACTGTTTGTTCGTTCTTGTTGTGCACTTTGCTGCCTATAACCATATTTGTGTCTGTCTGTTGACACGAGACTAATCGTGTATTGATAGGTTTAGATACGTGTGTGGCAAGCGCGCTAGTACGCTGGCACGGATTGAAAGCGGACGGGACGCTACTAGTGGTAGTACGGTATCCGTGTTCGGCGACTGACGTACTCTACATGGCAGTTCGAATGCCTCACGGCGTCGCTGGTACCTTGACGCCGACCTGTTCCCACAGTGCAACGGCAATCTCATCTCCCACTGCGACCGCGGAGTGCAGCAAGGAGAGAGCAACGCCTTCATCAGCGCCTCCCAGGTTGGCACCGGCACTGAGTAGCACCGATACGATCTCCTCGTGGTTCTGGCGTGCCGCCTGTATGACCGTCAGTCTCAGCAACATCGACGAGCGCGAAGGTTACTTACGTAGAACAGCGCCGTATGGCCCATGATATCGCGCAGATGAACCAGAGCGCCAGCTTGGAGTAGCCTCTTCACGCACTTCAGGCTCCCATTGATAGCAGCAACCTGTAGCGGCGACTGTCCAGATGCGGGATTGACCCAGTTCACCATACCACCGGCGACATTGCGGTACTGCTGGTTTTGTGACGAGTTCGCGTCGCTCTCCGCACCGAGACAGTAGTCAAGGCTAGCGACATCATCTTTGGCCGCGGCGAGGTGGACGAGGAAGCAAAGCAGCGCGCCCTCCGTTGTGGCGACTTCGGATGCTGTGGCGGTCCATGGCGCCGCAGAGCCTTCGGCGTCAGGCTGTATATCGTCTAGAGAAGTGTTCTGTTGGGCTCTTGCAGTCGACGGCATGCTGAGCTGTACGACGCGCGAGAGTACGCCGCCGATGTTGTCTAAGTTGTCGTCGTTCGTCATAGTGCGCGGGGCTTTGGATGGGTGGGATAGTTCGCCCCGGAGTGGTGTACCCATCAGCGTTCTGACCTCTAAGACGGAGAGCTCAGGTTTGGACAGGAGATAGCTGAGCTTCGCGAGCGCGCACTGTATGACGAAAGGTCAGCCGCATGAACGAGGGCCGTCATATCATGCAGACCTCGGGTGTCATATCACCTCCTGGCACAACACCGGCGTTGATGAGACTCTGTCCGGTTGCATATGCACTGGACACGGCACCCTTAGCGCACTGGCTGATCGACACGACTACGACCCCCCGGTTACACGCCTCATGCAGAGCGTGCATGAGCTCGGGACGCTGAGGCGCGTTACCCGCTCCAAAGGTCTCGAGGATGACGCCCCGAACAGGAGGAGCGAGAAAAGCCTTGAAAGTAGCCGCCGTTATACCGGGGAACAAACGTAGAGTCGCTGCGGAAGCGTTCAGGCCGACGGTTGATGAGAGGTCGGGTCGGTCACGAACCGACTTGAGCCTCCATGTCTGCACGTTCTCATCAATTTGGTGATCCTGTACAATGTACAGGGCTAATCACCTCTGTGTACTCTGAAGCGCTTCAGACTCGTCTGCCTGATCACGTCGTTCCAGTTGACGGTGATGTCAATGCCGACTACAAGTTGAGTGTCAGTCTTTGTGATTCAAACTTGACGGACGTGAGCTTGACCTTCGACGAGTGGCGGGAAGTTCGGGCTTGCGAAGGCGTTTAGGTCGTGAGAAGACATCTTCGACACTCTGTTCCCTCGAAAGAGCTGGCTGTCGAAGAACAGGCATACCTCTGAGAGTGCATGTTAGTAAGCTGTACGCGCGCGCACGTTCAAAAGGGTGCTTACCCGGGATGATGTAGTGACCGGCGATGCAAAGAGCGCCCAGGAGGTTGTCAATCGCATCGTTTCGTAGCATAGCCAGGGGAATCTGGGCGCCTGTAACGATCTATGCATACCTGTCAGCATAAGAGACAACGGGATGCGCAAGGTTGACGAACAACTGTCTTCCCCAAGTCCTCAACTACATGAACGTATTTAGTCGAGATGTCAGCGAAGCGAGTAATGATCCTCACGGATGAAGCTAAGCGCGGAAGAAGTGTAGGCCATGGTATCAGTCCCATGTAGCACAACAAAGGCGTCAAAGGCAGAGTAGTTCAGTTCAATCTCAGTCGCGATGCGTATCCAATCTGTCGCCGCTGTCAGTGGAGCGCCCACTACACCTTCTGTGATTGGCGCTAACCTTCGGCTTCAATATTGGAACTATCCAGCAGCGGGTTCCACTTCCGGAAGTTATCAGCGACGTGAACAAGTATCAGAGGAACAGTAAAGGGCACTGACCTCGAGGACCGCATATCGAATACGTTTGCCGCTAGGTCCCGCCAACCGCGGCGTTACCAGAGTAGGAAGCATAGCCTCGTGAACACCTTCGCTTATCTGGGTGCTCGCATGGTTGGAGGGCTCTGCGTCGACAGTGATGGCAGGTTCCGTTGGTAGTCCGAGTGTATTTGAGAGACCGATGGGTCTGCAAGATCGTACGGGCAGCATGACAGATGGTTGCGCAGGGGAAGACTTGTCTATGGGAGAGCTCCTTCCGCTGGTCCATTGCCTGAAGCCCTCGATAGAGCCTGAGTGAGAGTACAACGAGTCTTGAAGAGGATCATGGAATCTATTTTGACTTCGCAGGGTTTGTGTCAGGAAGTACGGTTCTGTAACAAGACCCCGGCTCCCGACTAGCATGCCGATGGTCCCGCCAGTGTAGATAACGAGCACCCTCGACTCTCCGGAGGCTTGAGCGCCTTCCATCACGGCGAGTAGCTTCTCAACGACCTTAAGTACAAGGTGAGGTGTAGCCCTGATCGGTGCGGATGTTTATGGGACAGTAGGTGCTGACGATGAACGTTGTGGCGAAAAGAAACAAGCGGCGTCGGCTTTTCGGAGATACACGGTCACGTGCATTTGTGGCGCTTACGCCTGGAGAAATTGTAGCGTACGTTTCGCGGCATCAGATCGAGCGCACGAATGCCTTACCCATAGAGTTCCTCGCTACGTGCACGTACGTGTCTACAATCCTTCCGATACGCCGTACTTTTCTCCGGAGTCAGGACACGGTCACATGCACGATCGCGTCGATGACTCCGAGCGAAATGTGCTGAGATTTAAGTAGGTGCCTTCTTTCTTTACCTACCACCACCACTGGGCCTACTACTATCATGGACGCCATAAATCAAGTCTTTGCTCGCAAGGAGCAGGAGGTACGACTATACTTCACTCTATGTATGCTCGCATCTCACTTCAAGATAGGGGGAACCTGCTCTTGTAACTTTTGTCACCGCGGGCTATCCGACCCCGAAGGACACTGTGCCCACCCTGCTTGCTATGGAGGCAGGAGGATCTGACATCATTGAGCTCGGTGTACCTTTCTCCGATCCTATGGCTGACGGCCCAGCGATCCAAGAGACGAACAATGTGCGTCGTACATATACTTAAAGAATCGATTGCTGACACTACATCAGGTTGCCCTAACACACAACGTCGACTATGCGCAATGCTTAGGATATGTAAGGGAGGCTCGGAGTAAGGGCCTCAAAGCTCCAGTCTGCCTGATGGGTATGCACCATCGCTAGACCTTAATGCGTAGAGCTCAGATGCGCCTCAGGTTACTATAACCCCTTGCTCGCATATGGCGAAGAGAAGGCCATCCAGGATGCTGTCGAGGCCGGAGCCAACGGTTTCATCGTCGTCGATCTTCCTCCTGAAGAGGCTGTTTCATTCCGCGAGAAGTGCCGGACCTACAGGTGTGTGTTCCGCCGTTTGAGCCGTGATATACGTCTTGAGCCATACGTAGCGCTTCTTACATTCCATTGATCGCCCCTTCAACTTCTGAGGGACGAATCAAGTTCCTTTCATCCATTGCGGATACGTTCATCTATGTCGTCTCGAAGGTACGTGCTACTAGTGTCTTGCGTATCAGAGATGCTGAATGAAGGTGTAGATGGGTACGACCGGCTCTTCCGACGGCGTCGCCATGAACAAGGCATTGCCCGAGATTATCGCACGCGTCAAGCAGTATACCTCTTCCCCTCTTGCCGTTGGTTTCGGCGTCTCCAATCGTGATCACTTCGAGGCTGTCTCTGACGCCGGTGCTGAGGGTGTCGTCGTGGGCAGCAGACTTGCGGCCGTCATCAAAGTCGCGCCGTCCGATCAGATCCCTCAAAAGGTCGAGGAATACATTCGCACGCTCAGTCTGAAGGGGCAGCCAGCACGCCCACGGGTCTCCCGCGCGAACACACAGCAGCGCGCCGAGATCAAGGAGAAGACCGGAGAGGCAATTCCGTCGAATGTCACCTATGCGCTTCCCGCCCGTTTCGGTGACTTCGGCGGTCAATACGTGCCCGAGGCCCTGTTCGACTGCCTTGTCGAGATCGAGGAGGCCCATAGGCAAGCGATGGCGGACCCGGAGTTCTGGAAGGAGTGGGAGTCTCTTTACGCCTACTCGAACAGGCCGTCGAACCTGTACTTCGCTGAGCAATTGACGAAGCACGCAGGTGGCGCGAAGATCTGGTTGAAGCGGGAGGACTTGTACGTCCCAGGCGCTCACATGCTACAAGGATGGCGTGCTAACTGGTACCCCATAGGAACCATACTGGCTCGCATAAGATCAACAACGCTCTTGGTCAAATTTTGCTCGCTCGCCGATTGGGCAAGAAGCGCATCATCGCGGAGACAGGTGCCGGTCAGCACGGTGTGGCCACTGCAACCGCATGCGCGAAGTTTGGTCTCGAGTGTGTGATCTACATGGGCGCGGAGGATGTTCGTCGGCAGGCTTTGAACGTCTTCCGTATCCAGATGCTCGGCGCAAAGGTTGTCCCTGTGACGTCCGGATCGCAGACCCTCAAAGACGCCGTGAACGAGGCTATGCGCGACTGGGTGACCAATCTCTCTACAACTCACTACCTGATCGGCTCGGCCATCGGCCCTCACCCATTCCCCACTATCGTCCGCGACTTCCAGCGCGTCATCGGCAAGGAGATCAAGGATCAGCTACAAAAGGCCGCGGGGAAGCTTCCCGACGCTGTTGTTGCTTGCGTCGGAGGAGGCAGCAACGCCATCGGCGCATTCTTCGACTTCATCCCGGACAAGAATGTGCGCTTGATTGGTGTCGAGGCAGGCGGTGACGGTGTGGACACGGACAAGCACAGCGCGACGCTCTCAAAGGGTGTTGTTGGTGTCTTCCAGGGCGTTAGGACATATTTGCTTCAGTCGCCGGAAGGTCAGATCATCGAGACGCACTCTATCAGCGCTGGACTGGACTACCCTGGTGTCGGTCCTGAGCACGCTTGGTTGAAGGATACTGGTCGCGCCGAGTATGTTGTTGCTGACGACGAGGAGGCACTTCGTGGCTTCCGCATGTTGACCCAGCTTGAGGGTATCATCCCTGGTGAGTTACAGACTCTGTGAGATGAGCGGACCCGGACTGACCGCCATCTAGCACTCGAATCCTCACACGCGGTGTGGGAAGCAGTTCGTATGGCCAAGACATTGCCCGCTGACCAGGACATCGTTGTTGTACGTGTTTCTTGTCCGAATACCGATGGGGCTGTTGTACTCACCGATTCACAGTGCTTATCTGGCCGTGGTGACAAGGACGTCGAGCAAATCTCCCAACTCCTTCCAGGCAAGTGGGCTGACAGGCTGGACTGGCACATCGAGGTTTGAGAGCGGCTTGAGGCGCCAGAAAATGATCTTAGGGATGTACGCAGTGTAACTTAGGATGTACTAGAGTACTTGTTGTATAGGCATGTATCAATGTTGTAGCTCCTTCGCTGTACGAGTCATGTTCTCGGCTCATGTGGGTTCAAGCTTCGAGCCGTCTCAACGCGCGGCAAGCGTCTCAGCTCGGTCCGACGTAACCTACCTTACCTCGCGCGGCCCCCGTAAGGCTTCGTTCTGTCGGTATACCGGCCAAACGACTGATCGCACTACCGAGATGATGGTTTGGGGGTTCATTGCACCCGTTCCCCATGGGTTCGGGCACGGTTCGGGATGATATCAATGTGATTTCGTGCGTTGAATAGAGCGCTGGGGTCGCCCCATATAAACGCAGGGTCCAGGACCAGATGATCTACGCCCTGCACGACGTCTTCGCATCTTACCTCTTACCAGCATGGGTTCACGAGGTAAGTGCCTGTCCAGTACCTCTATTTTGACGACCTGACGAGCGTGCCAGTCTTTCTACGCGTGATCGTCCCCGCCACACTTTTTGCGTCGCTCGCGGCTTTCGGACATCATGTCATGCTCGCCGGGACGCAACGTTCAGGGTCTGGTCAAGCCCTTCTACAGAACTGCCTTCCCGGGAAGGAAACCATCACCGACTCAATTAAGACGGGCGTAGTCGGGGTCGATGTAACGCTCTGCGTTATGACCAACTTCTTCCAAGCAAGCTTCAATCCGGAGGGAGTGCCACTATTATGGGGATTCGGCACAACGTTGGTGACTTTGGTCGCTCTACCACTCATCGAGGCCTCGCGCGCCGGCCGCACAGCCATGTTCGGGTGGCCGACCATCCTTCTTCTCGGGCTGATGTACCAACTGCAAGGCATCGGCGTTTGGTTCAACGCATATTGGTTCAAGCTCATCGTCTTCGGCTTCACGAAATCGGACAAGCACCCAGGTCCCCGGCACGTCGTCAACCGTGCATACGCAGAGGCCAACCTATTCGCTATCTTGGTGGGCTTTGCGCTCCCCTCACAGGCCATGCTCGGCTTTTTCGATCCGCTCGTCACCGCGGCGTGGCAGTTCTTTCCCGTGTGGGTTCTGCTAGCGCGCGGGCTCTACCTGCTCGTGCGCCCGCGCACCAGTGGGAACGGGTACAGCGTCGTTCAAGCTACGTACTTCGTCACCTTCGCACTTTCGGCGTTCGGCAATGCCCATGCCATCTGGCTCTTGCGGGACAACCTCGCGTCCTTCCTCTCGACGCTTCCGCCTTCCATCGACCCGCCCGCGTTCGCTGAAAGCACTTTCACTGCTGCAGCATTGCAGTTCCTGAAGTGGGATTGGCTCGTGACCAGTGCCGCAGGGTTATTGGCGACCCTGTGGACGGCGAGGAGCCCCGGGGAGGTCGTGAGCATTGCGCTCTGGAATGTCATCGCAACGCCGTTATTTGGAGCCGGAGCAGCAATATCGGGTGTCCTTATGTGGAGGGAGAAGCGGTTGAATGGCTCCAAATGAGCATTAGCAACATGAGTCTATAGGGATATGTGTAAACAGGAAGCAAAATATCTAAACCTGAATATAGTATGAGCTTGAGGAGCGAGAACGAAGACATCTGGACACTCACCAAGAACACGGTTTTTACCGCTCCTTCAATAACTTCAAGAACCCATCTCTCCTCGCTGGCCTGATGTGCTGGAAGGCGCGCTTGTCTTTCGGCGGCTCGATACGGATGTTGGAGGGGTAGTTGGCGCCGGCCTCCGCCTTGCGTGCCAGGAGCGTCTCGATGAGTGACGGTTGTGCCAGCACTTCTTTGGGCAGCGGCTCAAGTACTTGTTGAGGAGGTACGGAGGCTTTCGGGACGAGCCGGGCGAGTCGTGGGATCGTAGCACGCATCTACATATGCATCAGTTGAGGGCTACAAGAGGGAGGAGGGCTCTCGTACCTTGGTTAGTGGGGTAGATGGTCGCAGGTCGCAAGTGGAGACGGATGGCGGTGTGACCACATTCCGCGCGCGAGTAACGTGTGACCATACGCGTTCATCGAGAGTCGCGTCGTGCGCGACGTCCGTGTCGACCACCAACCACCATCACTGAACGGACGTACTTGTGTACCTGAGCTATGGCCGGCAATGAAGAAGCAGGTCCTTCCAAACCCAAACGTGCCGCGAAGCGCAAGACCAACGACGCGGCTGAGACTCAAGCTCCCGCAAAGAAGGCTCGCAAAGCGACACCCAGTCGCACCAAGAACAAAAAGAATTCTGTGAATACGGATGAGTGGCCGGAATATTTCCAGAAGGTACGTGCACCCCGAAATTATAGGATATACGGCTGTTCTGATAGCTCTCCTGGTGTAAGCTCTTCAAGGTATCGTTGGCCTTAGTAGACACCGCGGCACGCTAACTCGAGGGTCCCCAAGATCTTCAAGGTATGCCCCCTGGCACCTGAAATACGTTTGCATACTCACCCCTCACACTAGGCATTGAATACAGTACTTGGCTTTTGCTCAGGTCGACAGAATATCGCGACTACATTCGATACCATACGTGCCTCTGTCGAGGGTCTCTTGAGAGAGTGAGTGAGCTTTGACGGTGCACTCGCTCGGTCTAATCTCGATGTAGACCGCTTGACCTGGCTAAAGTAGCAGAGATCAAGTGAGTTCGCATCTAGACCAGTCATACTTGTCTCACGAGATGTCGCAGAGCATTACTTCCTGAGCTAGTGATATTTGCATACCGCCCTGCAGACGAAATGCGCATCAACTCTCAACCCGCCAAACGAGACAAGTCGCCTGACTTTGGCAAGTTTCTTGACACGGCGGCATCTCGGACAGATACACTTGACGTCGGCAAAGAAGAGCATGTCCTGATTCTTGAGCTCCTCGGAGGTTCTAAGAACAAGGACGCAGAACGGCCAATGTCAGTACTGTCTCGAAAGCTTCGCCATGCAGTATCGAGTTGACTCTCAGACTCTGTATAGTATATTCACAGCTCCGCAAGCTTTGAATGCCAGAGCGGTCACGAAGTTGATTGAAAGTCGCAACGAGGCATTCGTCACCGCCGTCGAGCAGTGCGTTACATTTGCTACTGTACATGGTTATCTCGGTGCACTGAAAAGATACGGGCAGACTTCTCAAGTCGACTGCTGATGATGAAGAGGCCATTGCGGTCATCCAGACGTCAGGTCGTGACTGCGTTCCTGTCAACCCTCTTTCGCGCAGTGCTGTCGAATCATTCGCGGACACACACGGGAAAGAGCCCTCTGAGATCCCATCATCCTCAGAGCGGCCAGCGATTGAGGAAGTGCTGCAGGAAATAGAGGAAGAGCTGTGGTATAACGGTCAGATCCAGTATAAGCGGGTGTTCGACGAACGCCAAGCACGACTAGGTTAGTCTTCTTTTCATGACTACAAAGAACTCCGTTTAAGAGGATTTAGGCACATTGGATACTCCATTGTCTGATTCGATACGGCATGCCTTGCAAAGCTCACGGGGCGTCACGGACCTGTATCTCCACCAAGCTGCCGCTGTCAACGCCTTGGCCAATGGCAAAGACGTGATCGTGTCGACCAGTACGGCGTCGGGGAAGTCGATCATATACCAGGTACGTTTCGCTCCAAATGGCCCTCGCGTGTTCGAGCTGACATAATCTCTCAGGTCCCTATCATACAGTTTCTGGAGGAGAACCAAGATGCTACGGCATTGATTATATACCCCACAAAGGTAAACATTTTGGCGATCCTTGCCATACGGACGTACAGACGTGTTTATGATCTCACAGGCACTGGCACAAGACCAGAAGCAGGCGTTCGAGAACTTACTGTATGCTTGCGACGGGCTAGAAAACGTGCAGGTGGCTACTTACGATGGTGATACACCCCACACCGAACGCCAGAGTCAGTACAAAGACTTGTCCACGCATGTCTTTACGCTCATGGATCGTAATCTGCAGGGATACGAGATCAGGCCTCCATCATCATGACGAACTTCGTAAGCACTTCAGCTTCGTGAAAGACCCAGCGCTCACATACGTCTTCAGGACACCATCCATGCCGCCATGCTCCCGCACGAGGACCTCTTGCGCCGGTTTCTGAAGAACCTCAAACTTGTGGCTGTTGACGAGCTTCACTACTACCATAATGTCTTTGGCAGGTGCGTACAATCAGCTACATATACTCTCGTACATTGACCGAAGTGCTTCAGCCACGCCGCAATGGTCATGCGCAGACTGCGGCGCATATGCGCGGCCGTAGGCAGTACGAACCACCTTCCTCTACGCTATCAGTAAGACGGGCTGATTGGGTCATCTAGATCGACGGATCCGTTTTGTGTCATGTAGCGCTACAATCGAGCAACCGGGTGTACACATGCGCACGATTTTCGGCCTCGACGTAAGCCCTTTCTCCATTGTAACTGGTTTCCAAGACGCCTGAGCCGCGATAGACTGTCGAAGAGGTCACAGAAGACGGTGCACCTGCGGGCAAGAAGGACTTCGTGATATGGGAACCTCCTCGTCTACTTGAAGGCGCAAGCCAGCAACATGCCAGCCCGCTGGTTGAAGCGACGGGTCTCATGAGGTATCTTATGAAGCGCGGCGTGAGGGTCATCCTCTTCTGCAAGGTAAGCCAGCCTTGTGTTTTAGATGTTGGCGCTTGCTGAGTGGTCAATGCAGATTCGCAAGTCGTGTGAGCAGGTACGGTATTGAGCATGATTTAGCTAGAATAAGCGCTCATATGATGAATCAGGCGATGAAGATGATTCGACAAGATCTTACATCTGAAGGCCGACTCGATATACTGGACAGAGTGCAAGCGTATCGAGGAGGTACGGACATGTCTTGTGGTGACGTGGGCTCACTAGTACTGACTTTCATCTCCACAGGCTACTCAAGGGAGGACCGGCGGATGATAGAGCATGAGGCCTTCTCCGGAAGGCTACTCGGTATCATCGCAACCAACGCTCTGGAGCTGGGCGTCGACATCGGCGTACTCGATGCTGTCCTTATGCTTGGTTTTCCGGTGACCGTAGCTAGTCTGGTGTGTATCAAGCTCGTCTGGATCATCCCATCGGCGCTTACGGCGTTAATAGCGCCAACAAATCGGCCGAGCGGGCCGACGAGGGCGCGACGCGCTCGGAGTCCTGATCGCCAGTCAAGCGCCCGTCGATCAGCACTTCCTCGCCAACCCTGACGAGCTATGGGACAAGCCCATGAAGGAGCTTGCCGTTGAGCTCGATAACGCAGCCATCCTTGAAGCGCATATGCAATGCGCGGCGTTCGAGATGCCAATGCGAAAGGCGGACGAGAAATGGTTCGGCCCGCTCACGGCGAGTATATGCGCTGAGAAGCTCGTTATCGACAAGGATGGGTGGTATCATGCCAATCCTAAGTTCCTGCCGTATCCTGCGAAGGACGTTTCACTGCGTGGCGTGGAAGAGCAGAAGTATGCGATCATTGACGTGACAAAGCTCAGACAAGGCGGTACAGCGAAGATCATTGAAGAGCTCGAGTTCTCGCGCGCGCTGTTTGAGCTGTACGAGGGCGGCATCGTGAGTTCATCACTAGATCCGCTCACTGCGCATTGACCCTGACTGCCCATAGTTCCTGCATCAAGGTATGCCCTACCTGGTACAGGAGATCAGCCATGACACAATGCGCGCGAACGTCATACGCACAAACGTAGGATGGGTAACCGAGCCCCGGTATATTTATATGCTCCCTTGTAGCGCGCAACCTACTCATCACCTCTGTCTGAAGCGACTTCACGAACATCGATGCTGTCCAGACACATCGCATTCGTGAGATCAGGCACTCCCCTCGCCTCGCTTTCTACGGCAGTCAGTCATTCTCATCGCCTCTTGAGGCACCTCGTCTAACTGTTGGCTGTAGAGGTGGAAGTGAAGACCACTGTCTTCGGATACTTCAAAGTCAAGTGCGTCGGTATATCTCTCAGGCTTTCGCGTATCTTGACACGCACCATGTAGAGATGGCCGCATCCTCGACGCCGTTTTCGTCGACATGCCGCCCTACGAGCGCACAACGACCGGCCTCTGGATTGACGTCTCGAAAGAAGCCCTAGAGCTCATGAAGATGCTCGGCCTCAGCCTCGCGGCCGCTATTCACTCCGCCCAGCACGCCGTACTCAACCGCTTCGCACTGTCCGCAGACTTGCGAACGGAATGTAAGCCTGACGAGAAGGAGCGGATGAAAACTCCCACGACGCGCACGAGACCTGCGAGGCTTGTGTTCTATGAGCAGGCCAGTACTGGAGGGAGTATCGCCGCTCGGGCTTTTGATCATGGTAAGTCGTTTGTCTACAGCCACTCAGTACTCGACTGATCACTATACAGTTAACGATCTCTTGCGCGAGGCGGAAGAGCGCGTCCGCACTTGCGACTGCTATGATGGCTGCCCAGAATGTATGCACTCCTTTCTCGCTCTCTGAATGCTAGCACGGAGCTGAGCATGTCGTGTTTCATAGGCGTTGATAGTCTCGGATGCAAAGAACACAACACCGTCCGCTCGCGCGCCGGCGCACTAGTCGTACTACGCGACATCCTTGCTCTACCCATAGACCCCGCAACACTCCCAGCTCTCGAGACGGCGACGGGTGACCCCGACGCACACCAGACGATCGTGGAAGCCCCGAGCGTTGGGCGCGCACAGGATGTGAAGGTCGAGCAGGCGTCCCCTTCACCGACTGGTTCACCTTGAGATGTGTTTCGCGGCGCGAACACCGGGTAGTATTGTATACATGGATAGTAAATGTAGGTAAGATCCGATGAGCAGGCTTCCACAGAAAACGGTGTATCCAAGAATGTGTGAAGAGGTATATTCTAAGCCGGTACCCAGTCAAATCAAGCAGCTCAGCGTCGTAAGGATGGACCGAGCTATCAGAAAGTCGGTCAGTGTTGCGCGACAGAGAGCTTATGACGGCACGTACGTTCCGACGTTGCTGCGCCAGCCAGCTGGTGGGTATGCCGCGGTTTGCGCCCTGACCAAGTTGTTCTCGCTGGCTCGCCATAGAGAGCGTATGCAAAGCGCTAAGCATAAGCTCCTGCTCTTTCGCATATCGCTTCTTGATCTCGAGAATCGAGCGCTAGAAGCGGTTGAGTATATATGTGCAGGGAAGGGACAGTGAACGTACCTTAGCGCGATCAAGTTCTTCATTTAGGATGCCGACTTGGCCGCTGCTGTCGCCACTGCCGTCGCCGAACCCACCGCCACCCAGGGCAGCAGTCTTGGCGTGCTCCTCCTTGAACAACTTGTCCTGATCCTTGATGAACTACACACACTCATGAGCCTATCAACCTCCGAAGTAGAGCAGAAACAGACACTGACCGCGCGCGCCTTCATCAGCTTCTCCTGCAACGTCTTCGTCTGCTCCCTCAACAATACATTATCCTCATGCAGACTCAACACCCTCTGCTTAACATCCTCCGGCACCGGCACCCCATTCATACTAGCCCTCAAATCGCCCAGATCCCTCTCGCGCTGCAACATCCTCTCCCGCTGCCCGATCGAGTCGCTCTGGAGGTTGACCTTCTCCAACAACAACCCGTTGATCTGCTCGAGCTGAAGCCGGTTACGCTCTTCGAGCTCTTTGATGCGGTTGGTGAGGGACGTGACTTCGGATTCGAGCGCGAGCTTGTCCTCGTTTACGGATTCGCGGAGGGAGGCGAGTATGTCGAGTTGGTCTTTGTTCACGAGGTTTAGATCGGATTTGGCGATTGTTAGCTCCTTCTGTAATCCCTCGTATTGGACCTCTAGCTCGGTATGCTTGCGCTTCACGTCGTCGAGCTCGTCGACTGTCTCGTTCAAGCGCTGCCGAAGCGCGATTGCAGCCTCCGGTCCGTCGCCCAGAGACTTGCCCGCGCGGATCTCCTCGAGCTGAGCAGACATGACGAGTTTCTCACGATGCGCGGTCAGGTAGTCTTGCTCGTATCGCGCCTTCGCCCTGCTCGCGTCCTCCAGCAAGTTCTCAAGCACCAACACGCGCGACGCCTCGCTTGAGTTGGCCTTCGTATCCGCCAGCTGCCGTTGCAACGCGCGCACTTGCAACTTCAGATCCGTCATCGTCGTCCCATGCAACGCGTTGTCCAGCTCCTCGCCGAAACTCTTGTCCACGAGCGTATCGTCGATGCTCGGGCTAACGGGTTCGCCAGTGCTGCCGCCAGGCGCCAGTGTGTTCGGCGCAGAAGGTGTGATAGGCGTCTTCGGCGTCGTAGTAGGCGGACGCGCGCTAACCAACTCCAACTCTCTAACCCTCTCCTGATACAGCTCTAACGCCTCCGAGTCTTTCGCCCTCTCCTCTTCCGTAATGCGCAGCTTCGTACGCGTCTGGTCGAGTTCGAAACGCGCGGTATCGAGATCCTTGGCGCGCGTCGCGAGCTTGGTCTCGAGGTCGGAGATCTGGGATTTGTAGGACTCCATGAGGGGTTTGAAGGCGGATACTTTGCGGTATTCTTCTTCGAGCGAGGCGTTTTTGTCTACGAGGTCGGCGTTCTGCTTCTCTAGTGACTGTGGGGAGTGTTAACGGGCGAGAGCTTCTTGTGGTGCGTTGAGTGAGGTGAGTATACCTTGACGGTTTGGCGTAGTTCGGAGCCTTCTTGGAGTTTCTTCTTGTACTTCTCCATGACGTTCTCCGTCTTTGCGAGTCGGTCGGCGGCATGACGATACCTGAACACCCAGAGTGAGTTGGACGTAACGAAGAGCTGGACCGGATACGTCTTACTCGTCCATCTGGTCCTTTAACTTGACAGCTTCGTCCGCAGCGACCTGAAGCTCGTCCACGCGCCTGGTGAGGTCGGCAACCAGACCAGTCTGCTTATCGAGCTCCGTCTCGGTCAACGCCAGATTCTCCTCGCTCTTCTGTCTACATGCCATCAACATCTGAAGAAGTGCAGGGCCGCGCCACAGGTACTCACAGTTCCCCACGCAGCCTATCGATCTCGGCCCTCATCAACGTATCACTCTTGTCATTCCTCCTGAAGTCGGCCTCTTTCTCCGCCCTCTGCGCCCGCGCCACAGCCTCGTCCTTCTCCGCGGTCATATCATCGTATGAGGTCTGTAAGCCGCGGTGTTCTTCGAGAAGGGATTCGTAGACTTTCTGAAGGGTGTCCTTCTCGGTGAAGACGCGGTTGCGTTCGGATTGGAGTTGGTAGAAGCGGTCATCTCTGGAAATGTGCGTCAGAGTATGATTAGGGTATTGTTGTGGAAGGTTACTCACTCGTCCATGTCGGATGTCAGACCGCGGTCTTCGGACTTGACTTTGTTCATGACCTATACCACGCAAATAAGCACCGATATTCATACACCAGTTACTCCACTGACCTGCTCGATAGCCCTCATAAGATAATGTTGATCACCCTCACTCAACGCCTGAATCTTTCCAATGAACTCCTTATTCCTCTCACACTGCACCGCAATCGCGAGCGTAAGCCTACACAAGCCCAGCGTGGCCTCAATATCATGGTCCTTGGCCATAGCCTGCAGATCAGGGACTTCGAGCCCACTGGTGGGCTGCATGAGGACCTCGGCGAAGTACTGAGTTAGTAGACGGTAGATGCGCTTGAGGGTACTGAATTGGAGGACCCAGTTGTCGGTCGCCTGAGCCGAGGGGCGGGTCGGTGCACGAAAGTATTCGGCATCTCTTGAATACATTCATGAGTGATACTGGTAAGGACATGAATGTACCACGAGCGCACATGGTAGAGAGGATCTCGTAGAGGACGGAGCCATCGCTCAGGTCGGCAGCTGCCGCTACCGGGTGGTTGAGCTTGAATGTGCCGAAGAAAGATATAAAGGCATCGAGCTCTTTCCCCAGCTTGTCGCCCATCCTGATGGGTTGAAGCCGAGATGCGAGCGCGTCGCGAGAGGCGCGTTGCGCCGCCGGAGCATCGGGCCGGAGTCGAGACGCGACTTGCGATCAAAAGTGAGAGTTTGGGAGTAGACGCTGATCATGCTCTGCTAGTACGAGTCATTATGGCCGACAGAGACACGTCCAATCTCTGCGTAGAGATTATCCGACAACATTTTGGTCCCCTCAATGCCGTGTGTAACCTGTATTCATAAGACCACGCGTCAAAACTCATCATTTCTCGTGCGTGCAGAAAGTTGCAGAGGTCCTGTTACACCGCGGGCGCCTCAGCCTATCCCACCTAGTCCGCTTCACGGGCCTCAAGCCGCGCACCGTGCGCGCGTGTATACTTGTGCTGGTGCAGCAGAATGTACTATGGCACGCTACGGAGGAGGATGTGGAGGTGTTTGAGGTGAACACGGACGAGTGTCTGGCGAGGACTAGGTTCGGGACGTATGTTCATCTCATGGAGGAGCTCTACGGACAGGAGGTGCGCTGTTATGCCAAAGCGCTATGGAAATTGTACTAATAAGCATCTGCAGGCTGCACGAATAGTGACTGTGGTACTCGAGCACGGCAAACTGCGTCCGCCAGACATCATGCAGCTCTTGTCCGTGGACACCAAATGTACGCTCATAAAGAAAGTCACATCTGTCTCACATCTAACCATCTACAACAGCACACATATCCCATGCTCAAGCCTTACACAAACTCGTCTCCTCCGCCTACCTCAAGCCCTCCACCCTCCTCTCCCACAAATCCCCACGCGACAAAATCATCGAATACGAGACCGAAGAAAAGGCCAAGCTCACGGGTATACCTGCCGCGAAGGAGCTGCGCCAGGCGCGGGAGATGGCCGAGTTGAGGTTCAGGAGGGAAGAAGAGGCCGCGGAAAGGATCGGTATGGTGAGTCGCTGTTCACCTCAGATGGCGTGGTGGAGTTTATATGGATGAAGTCGGTTTTAGAAGAGGAAGGCTGTGGATAGTGGTGGGAAGGCTTCCAAGGTGCGTTCTGCTCATACTTATACGCTCGTGTTATGCTGAATCGTGTCTGTAGCGCTCAAAACACTCGGACGAGACCGCAGAGATCGTCGACGTTCGTGCATTCCATACCCTATCTTCAGTCGTGTCATGCTAACACGCATCTGCAGGATGAAGTCCACTTCCGCGTGAACCACGACAAGTTCAACGTTCACATACGGAACAAGATCATCGTGAACGCAGCCCGAGAACGCTTCAACGATGGCGCCGCTCAAGTTATGCAAGCCGCATTGAAAGCGACAGAGGACAAGTCGCGGACAGTCAAAGACCCACGCTCAGGTATGTCCTCTCCGCACTTCTCTCATACATACCTCTCACTCATACCACTCATATGCAGACCCCATGAGCGTCCCCGACATCATACGCTACATAACAGATGAAGATGCCCTCGCAGCCGGCCTCATAATGCCTTCAAAAAAGCCTAAGACGCCCGACATAATCCAACAATACCTCCACATGCTCGCCTTCCACGACAACACCACCCCCGCGGGCCTCTCGTCTCGCTTCGTCGCCCTCCTCGGCAAAAAAGTACAAGTCGAGTTCGATGCTATCGGCGCGCGGCTGCGCACTCGAGTGCTCGAAGCAGTCGCGAGAGAACGACACGGGAATGAGGGTGTCAGGGTGTTGAGGTTGTTGCTGGAGACGGGGAAGATGGACGAGAAGCAGATCGCTAAGACTGCGATGATGAGCGCGAAAGATGTGCGCCCGCTCTTGAGCGCTATGAGTGCGGAGAGTTTGGTTAGTCTGCAGGAGGTGCCGAGGACTAGCGATCGGAATCCCACGCGGACTTTCTATCTCTGGTAAGCGCTCACCCACTCGGATCCATTGGGACGCGTAACACAGTCTAACAATGCACAGGTTCGTCGACCTGCCAAAAGCCTACTCAGTCCTCCTTGCGAACCTCTACAAATCGCTCTACAACATACACACCCGCCTCCGCTCCGAACAGGAAGACCAGCCTCTCGTACAAGCTGTGCTCGCCAAGCTTGACCGCGAAGACGTCACCGAAGACGACCTTACAAGGGTCGACAAGGAACTACTAGCGGCGTGGAGGGACAAGAGGTTGAAATTGACGTTACTCGCAACGAGGGTGGAGGAGAGCGTATTTATCTTACACGACATAACTGAGCGTGTCGAGGAGTGATGGTGCATTTGCTTTAGAGTAGACATTGTGTTATGTACGCATGTGGGTCCACGAACCGTACATTGATTGATCGGCTTCGGCGCGTCAACGCGTTGTTATAACCTCACAACCTCCCGCCATGTTCGCCGCGGCCTCATCCTTCTTCTCGCGCTCTAATATTCTTCAGAACTATAACGTCGGCACCTCTTCTGCGCCACGCAGCCCGACACCATCAACTTCAGCCGGCGCACTTCCATCAACAGCGCATGTCCCGGCGTTTCAGGTCGGACTGTGGAGGGTGCAGAGCGGATCGCACAAGACGACTGGGAAGAGGGTCAGCGTGTGGACGTGCGATAAGAGGGCGGGAGAGCTGGACAGGTTGACGCCAGCGGCGAGGGAGAACGTGATGGACGTGCTCAAGGCCGAGGTGGGTTGCTGCGCAGGGTTCGAGGCGAATAAGAGGTTGATGGGAATATAGGCGACTTCGTTGAGCAAGTTGAGGCATCCGAGTGTATTAGGTCAGCTCCATCATATCATATCATATATTGCACGTGCGCTGATACGTGTGGACGAAGAGGTCGTCGAGCCGCTGGAGGAGACGCGGGGAGAACTCATCTTCGCGACAGAGCCGTTGCTCGCCTCGTTGTATCTCGCTATACCAGGTTCACCCTACGGCTCTAAGCTGGTAGACTTGGATGAGGTGGAAGTATGTTTAGTCTCTGCTATATGATGCACATATGCTCAGACATGGTCTATAGATCCAGAAGGGTATACTACAACTATGCAAGGGACTCCAGTTCCTACATACCTCCGCTCGGTTGATACACACCAATATCAACCCGGAGAGTATACTCATCAACCAATCTGTACGTCTACGGCTGCGAGCATTGGTCTTAGTCTCTGACTATGATATACAGGGCGACTGGAAGATTGGTGGGCTCGGCATGACCATCGCGTTAAACCCAGCAGACGGTAGCAAGCCGCGCTGGGAGTTCCCTTCATATGACGGAAGGTTGCCACCGTACACACAACGCTCTTTCGACTACATGGGTAAATGCCACATGTAACCTCTACGGTAACCCATGCTAACTAGCACTGCAGCCCCGGAGTACGCGCTTGACGAGCAGTTGACCACAGCCTCGGACATGTACTCGCTCGGATGCCTCATGTTCGCCGTACATATGAAGGGGGATCCGCCATTCAAGAATCACGGTAGCCTTGGAAGTCTACGCGAGAACGCCGGGAAGCCGTTGAGCGGGATGGAGAGACTCGACCGTGACTTGCAGAGTGCGTTTCACCATCACTTGCATTATCACCGTAACTATGTACTGATACAATTCGTGAAGCCATGCTCCGCATGCTCATCACCCGCAACCCTCAAGGCCGCGCCGCACCAGAAGCCCTCCCAACGCACGCCTTCTTCTCCTCCCTCCCCATCAGCACCCTCAACTTCCTCGAACGCTCAACCTTCGCCACAAAATCCCGCGAAGAAAAGGTCTCCTTCATGAAAGGCCTACAATCCGTACTAGACCGCTTCTCCGAGGGCCTCCGCATACGCAAGATACTACCGAGCTTATTAGAGGAGATGAAGGATACGCACCTGTTGCCGTATATCCTGCCGAATGTGTTCTTGATTGCGAAGATCATCAGCCCGCAACAGTTTGCGAGCTTGGTGTTGCCTAGTCTGAAGCCCCTCTTTGCGATCAAGGATCCGCCGCAGAACATGCTTACCCTGCTGGAGAACCTGCAGACGTTGCAGGATAAGACAGAGAAGAACGTCTTCCGAGAACGTACGTACTCGACTCTTCAACCATGGATTTGTACTGATAGTCGCGATAGATGTTCTACCGTTGGTGTACAACGCGTTCCAGTCAGAGCATGCTGTAGTGCAAGAGCGCGCCTTGAAGTGCGTGCCGGATCTGTGCGAGACCATAGACTACGCGGAGGTGCAGGGAACGATGTTCCCACGGGTAGCGGTGCGTATGATGTGATTTCGGGATTGTTCTCTCGTACTCATCGCATGGTATAGGTCGTCTTCACGCATACACGTGTTCTATCAGTCAAGGTCGCGACACTTGCCACCTTTTTAGCAATGGTTAAAACACTCGATCAAGTGCGTACTCAGGGCGACCGCGAGATGATGAACTTCGCTGATGTCATCCTCACAGACCAGCTTGACACAAAAGCTCGTACCATTACTATCGAAGATACGGACGAAGGAGCCAGCGGTAATGATGGCTACTCTCGCCGTCCAGGAAGCTATGGGTCTGAAGGTCGACCGGGAAGCTGTGGCGACGCTCGTCTTGCCCCAATTGTGGGCGATGTGCATTGGGCCACGTACGTTTCCTCCCCCTCGCTCACGGCAACGCGCTCACACCAGACACAGTGATCAACGTTCAGCAGTTTGAACGCTTCATGGCCGTGATCAAAACCCTCTCCGACCGCGTACAGCGCGAACACCACCAATTCCTCCGCGATGCCCAACGCATCGAAGACAAGTCCGCAATCCAACCCAACGGCTCTCCCCTTCCCTCCATCAACGCCGGACCAGTCAGCTTCGAGAGCTTGGTGGCCAATGCCAATGGTGCCACGGTCAAAGCGGATACGGTGGCGCAGGGCGAGACGAACTGGGAAGATGATGTCTGGGGAAGCATTTTGGCGCCCGGGACGGAGACGCCGAGGACGGCTAGTCCGGCGCCTGCCGCTGTGCCGGCGCTCGGGCAAGGTTCGATAACACCGAGCGCGACGTCGCCGAGGTTGGGCGGACCGTCGGTGCCTGCTCAGCGCAACATGTCGCGGCCTGCGGGCCCGCTGGGCGCGCGTCGTATTACGAGTACGCCGGGACAGGCATCCGGAGCAAGCTCGCCGTTGTCGACTACGGCTTTCCCACCACCTCCATCATTCGCATCGCCACCGCCTATGTCATTCTCATCACCGCCGCCCATGCAACCTCTGCAGCCAACATCGACGGGCTCGTCATTTGGCTCGGCGCCACTACAGCCGTCAAAGCCGAACTACAATATCTCGTTGGATAATAGCTTTGGAGGGTCGAATGCACCGATGGCACCGCTGGGCGCATCGGGTTCAAACGGCTTCGGCGTTTTCACCCAACCGCCGTTACAGCCTCAGCAATCGACCTTCGGGTCGTTCTCGCAGCCTGCACTACAGCCTCAACAACAGCCGAAGCCCTTCTCACCGCCACCACTACAACCTCAGAACTCATTCGGTGCACCACCGCTACAGCCGCAACATTCGTTCAACGCGGCTCCAATGCAGCCGTTGCAGCCGACGGGTACGGGTGGGAGTATGGGTATGGGCGTGCTCACGCCTAGTAAACCGAATGGCAGCGCGAAGGCTGCGGCTGCGAAGTTGGATTGGGGAGATTTCGATCCGCTTGCTTGAGTGCTCGTTCAAAGTGATTTCGCTGTTGTGGATATATGCTACATAGACTGTAATCGGACTAGGATCGACCCTTTGTACTGGCATCAACTCAAGAAACTAACTAAGGCCATCGCGTGAGACTCGTGTGCCACCGAGTGTATGCATGTGTATGGCTGTTGCGCTACGAGGCCGAGACGAACGTGTCTGGCCGCAGATCCCGAATGGCCATGGCTGCAGCATGGCCGCTTCTGTCATCTCGTTCGGCGAGGTGGCGCAGAACATCGCATATGAACAACGGTAAACCTAAGAATGACACCTGTTCTACATGTGTATGCGCGATGGCGTTCCCCTGCAGGAGGTCGACTGATGAGGCAATTACGTGCCGGAGGGTACGGAGAATTATCAGATCTCTCGGACGTATGACGGTTCCGCCGCAGTGCGTCAAGGGTACGCCACATCAATATGCAGTTACGTCGAGCGACCGCGGAGGAGGACCAGACAAGGATGCAAAGTCGGGACCTGGAGCGGGATGCCGATACTTGAACTGCTCTTCCGATCGAATGCGAGAACGTCAAGACACACACTATAAGATCGAGAATGGCTGAACCCCACCCGCCAAGTGGCTTATATTAAGCCAATGGGCTGATAAGTGGCTGATTTTGACCATCAATCGAGCAAATTGGGCGGCTGATATTTTGACACACATCAGCGGTGCAGCCGTTCCGGTGACTGATTTTGACCAAACACGACTGCTTTTAGGCCATTCTGCAGCGTGCAGATGGCTTATGGAACGACTGCACCTCAGCCGTTCCTGATCTTATAGTGACAACGTGTGCGGAGTGCTGATGGCGCGTATCCATATGCGGTCTTCGAGCCTCTGTCTTTCTCTGTCGGCCTTTTGGCTTTTAGAGGTGTCCAACGTATGCGCACTCTCTTTTATCGAACCTCATCTGGAAACCTCTGATAGCGGTGGAAGACTGCAATCCGTGCCTTGATTCTCGGTGTTAGCGTCGCACGCGCCGCGACAAGGTTTGAGCGTCGGACATCGCTCGTATCAAATGCGGCCGGAGGCAGGGGAGCGAGGGACATCTTCACCCATGCAATCGGTCTACGGCCTTCTACAACGCGTGCCAGGGTCCAGGGCTACTGGAGCTCTTTTCGAGAGGAGCTCTACCGCCGATGAGCGCGTGCAAGGATATACGACGTTTACGACGGATTTAAAGACAGTACGAGGACGCGGATAAGACGCGATGTCCACATCAGCCCTCGAACAAAGATCTCCGGATGTGGGCAAGATGCCATTCAGGTACCGTCGGGATTAGCCGAGCTCAGCAGGCACTGAGAACGGGACGTCAGCAGATGACGCGCGACGGATGTAAATTGAGGGCAAGGGCGCGACATGCGCGCGAGAAGACGGTGTGCTGAAGAGCATACGAGGCCGAGGGCACCGGATACGGTGCACAGTGGTATACGACTAATACTGAGGCCACCGCCCGATGGGGGTAGGAAGAAAGAGGGTGATTAGAGTAAATTCGCAGAGCTCGCATGCGTTTTCGGCGTGACATCACGGTAAGAGATTGGATCGAGCGAGTGCTGTTGGTGCTTCGTTCCGACAGCCACCCATGTCCGAGCCCAGCAAGCTAGCAGCGCAGGCGCCCGTCAAGGAGGCGACGCCCGCCCCTACTCTGCCATCGTCGCGCGCGCCCTCAGAGGCGCCCGCGGCCGCGCCGACGCCCGCTCGCGCGACATCTGAAGCGCCGGCGTCACCCAAGACACCCAAGAGTCCGAAGCCGGCGGCAGCTAAAGCCGCCACACCCGCGCCTGAGCCCGCACCAGCAGCCGAAGTTCGTATCCTCTCTCGATCTGTCCCAATCTGCGCCCTCACACGCCTAGGATCCGCCCACCGAGGAGATCATCGACATGGACGTCTTTGAGCAGATCCTCGATCTCGACGAGGAGGGCGAGCACGACTTCTCGTCCGGAATGGTCTCGGCATATTTCGCACAGGCTTCCTCCGCATTCGAAGAGATGGACAGCGCATAGTGCGTATCTCTGCCAGACCTGTCGCGATCCCGCTGATCGTGCTCATTGCTTCTTATGACAGCGCGAACTCTAATCTCACAAAGCTCAAGGAGCTTGGTCATTTCCTTAAGGGCTCAAGCGCCGCCCTCGGCATCTTCAAGGTGCAAGCAGGTTGCGAGCACATCCAACACTTTGGCGACCGCCGCGACGAGACGGCGAATCGTGATCTCTCACCCGAGGAAGCCCTCGCTCGTATCAAGCCCATGCTTGCCTCGGTCAAGAGCGAATACGCCATTGCGGAGCGTTGGCTTCGTAACTGGTATGAGGATAAGGGCGGCATTCCCGACCTCCCGGAAGATTGAACTATTTAGAGGCGCACGCACCCGGGTGCGCAATGTCTTGAGCAGATAGCCCGGTGGGTGGCGGTCTTGCAGCGTGTACGAGGCGAGGCGGGGCAGGGGGGAGGCAGGTATCGATGTAGATGGCGCTGACGCCGGAAGGATAGCGGGGTACAGGGCGGGTGGGCATGCATGATCTCTAGCTCTACGGAGCGTACGCAACGGTTCCACTTCCACATGCGCGTGTACGAGTAACAGAATGGGTGGACACGCCTTCACCTTCATCCAAAAAGCGTCCGCTTGCGTGCGGGTATTCTCCATTGGCTCTGCTCTAGTAAATCCGACATGCCAGTATTTCACTGATATCGGTGAGCTGGCTGCACAGGATAGGTACATCATCGATCGGCCGGGCGGATAGATCTGGGTAGGTCACCCACCTGCTGCCGCCGTCACACATAAGGACATACCTTGACTATCAGCAAGCGAGTACACAGTCACGGCCCTCCGGCTGACCCTCATCCCGTCGATTGCTGGTTGGTTGACCGTTGTTGTGCTGGGCCGATGCTGGGCCTCGACTTTCTCTTTCGTCATCGTATGCTCGCGTGAGCCAATGCCGCGCGCTCCGGTGCGAGCGCGTCAAGCATCTTAGCGCTGGCGTGTACGTTCTGTGACCTCCTGCGCATCCTGCAGGGTCCTCTTTGGCCGGGAAATTTGATTGTTTCAGTGGCTGGGAATCCCGCTTTGATTTCATAGTCGTTTCGGCCCGATTGGTTCACCGCTTTCGGCGAGCTTGCAGCTCGATGGCGTGCCTCCTGCCATCTTTACCGCTCAGGAAGCTCTCTACTTCATGCCTATTGCTGACCTCCTGAGTCCATTGTCATCGGAGTCTCGGCGAAGTTCTTTCGCAAATTAATGTCGTTCATGAGATTTGCATCACTCCTACGATGTCACTCCGTGATGTTCACCATGCGACATCTGCAGTCGAAGGCGTGTTGGCTCGTAGCACGCCAATGGAAGTTCTTTCCTGCGTCTCAAGATGAGGGATGACGCTTTCGCAGGACACCGCAGCTGCACGGTCGCAGGCGCCGGGTCAGCCAAGAGCGAGCACCTATCTCGCCTTGATCAAGACGCCTTGTGCTACATGTGGGAGTCTGCAAAACCGATTTACGTCCATTGCGAGTATTGCATGTGCTTAATGCCAATTGGCTGGATTCTACAACCGTTTAGCATATCGAGGGGTAGCCCGGCGAACAGATGTCTCTATCAGCCGAAGAAAGTCAACGTTGCGTGCGTCCGTTCGCTCAAACTACTTGTACCGAGAAGCGCTAGAATCTTAGAGCATCTCAAGCGCCAGAACCTTTTATGAGTACTCCTAGTCTCCAATGGGATACAGGAGGTTTATTTGATCCGTCTCCGAGCCTGCATTCATCCATAATAGATCGCCGATATCAACTAAGTATACTGGTGGGCAGTCAGTCGTCGAGGAATCCAATCGTTATCTCAGAATACAGGCAAAACCCTTATGGGTTATTCAATAGTACGCCATCACTACTATACCCATAAGTGCTGGTTATGATTATTTAGAAGTCGACATCTGGTATGTATACTTGAGTACAGTGACCTGTCGCAAACATTCGTTAGGCAGTAGCGAAGTGCGATACAACCAAGCGACGGGCTTTATGGAGGATATTCCCGCGCACGAGGCACCATGCATCATGGTTCGTGATGCAAGAATTCGGGCGAACTTCGTTGTGTGAGGCTCCGTCTATTTGCCAGATAGGTCGAGATTTCAAATGGCACGTGATCGCGTTGGTGATCGCGGCAAAACCCGAAGGCGAAACTCGCGTCGCGACGCGTCCATTGTTGTCTTCGCATCACCATGGGCTCATACACCCTCCACGTCCCGAGCTTTCTGTGTCGTCCCGATCTCCAAAGTCTATAGCATACATCTCGGTAGTCTGTGCTGCTAAGTCAGACTATTACAACAATGGAGACCTCCCGCATGCCGTGAGTTGATGGTGTGGTTGAGGAGGCTTCGCTATCGAACGCACTCTCATTGTCTATCCCAGCCATGAGTCACCATCAGAGTACAACCACAGACACATATCTGATGAGAATAGCTTGCTGCGAGTGGCGCACCCCGCGCCTCTTCCTCTGCTACCACGACTAACAACCCTTCAGTCCTCTCGTTTCACAACACACTCTCTAACTTGGCTTCATGGCCCGTGGAAAAGGATCTTCCGGCCCCGGAGGCCCTTCCAAACGTCGTGGTGCATCTGCTCATGGGAGTACGCCAATGCGGGGTCGCTCTGCCGGCCAGAGCGACGCCCCACCCGATGCTGGTGGTTCGGCCCGCAGTGCCTCTGCTCCCAGGCGTTCGACACGGCTTGCAAATCCTCCTGCGGGAGGTGCACCTGCCAGTGCCAATACTACTGACCGGGAAGAACCCCGTCGCAGAACGCGCTCCTTGACCGCGCGCAAGATGTCGACCACTAGTGGACCATCTTCCTCCGCCATCCCCTCCGTTGCAGGACCTTCTCCTCCCGCTCGCGTTGAAGAACCACACTCCTCCCTGTCTGCCGCAGACTCGTCGTCTACTGCCACGGGTACGACGCTACCTCGTACGCCAAGGAAGCCGGATGCAGTGTCTGGTGGCCCGATAGAGTTCGACTCCACTCCGGTCTCCTTAAAGTCCGATCCAAAGCTTGCTCTTAACGCCGAAGGAGAACGCGGGAGGAACGAAATCTATCTTGAGCATTGCCAGATGGCTGAGGGGATGTGGGTTGGACCAGTACCAGATGTTGGATTTCTGGACAAATGCGTCCCAGACGATAATCCTAGTCGTAGTCCACGCGCTCTGCAGGCTCTCGCGCGCAAGGTGTTTGCAAACGTACCCGAGAAGAACGGGGAGGCAGCATTCGTACGTTTTCGTTCTATCGCTTCAATACATGTCTAATGTTATGGTAGTTCGACGCCATCGTAAAGAGCGGTGTATGCAAGAACCTGCAACCTTTGGACACGCACTCTTTCAGGGTTCCGGATGGGAATTCAAAGCTGAAATACGGTCCCGATTTCTTTCTCGTCCTGGCGCTGTTGGCATCGGGCCTCTTGAAAAAGGGAGTCCTGCGCCAAAGAACAGGGATCTCGGCAGGCATAGTGTTCGGTGACCAGAAGCAAACGCACGAGGATCCAGCCCGCGGCCTTGACGGCACAGTTCCATTAGCACATGGTGCCATTCAAGGGGATACCGTGCAAACGCACGATGCCCAGTCTATGCGATTGTCTCGCGGCCAACTTCTTGTGTACCCCGTCGTCATGATGTCCAACTCCCATCGTACCAAGGTCCTCGCTTTCGTACTCGTCGGGGACGACGCGCGCCTCTTCATCTTCGATCACAGCGGCATAATATACTCTTCTCTCTTCAACTGGCGCAAGACTGGTATCCTTCTGGCCTTCCTAGCGCGCATCGATGCCATGACGGAGGCTCAGTATGGTTGGGATACCTCTGTCGAGCTGATACGGACGGTTCAATGGGCACGTCCTGACGTCGGAGAGAAGAGAGATTGGCTGTCATCTTGTGTGGTGGACGCGAAGAAGTTACTCAAGGCCACCGATGCGCTTCCTGCAGGGATGACCGCCGAGAGCTTGTTCCCGAGTCGTGGAAAGCATGGCCCTTACGCTCTCTTTCACCAATACAACCCTGATGCGCGGACCATTCATCGTATCATAGCTTTCCAACCGATTGATTACGAGGACACGGGCTTAATCGGGTCGAACGGCCGTTGGTGGATTGGCGTAGATCTTACCGCGAAGACTGTCGTCTACTTCAAAGACTATTGGCGCGTCGACCTTCCGGACATTCCCGCTGAGACCGACACGTACAAGACGCTGCAAGCAGCTGGTGTTCCGCACGTCTTGAAGTTGCACTTCGGATCTGACGTCCCGAACGATACTCCTGGACTCGTAAAGAAGTGCAACATGAGCGAGGAGAAGCACGAGGGGGATAGACTCTCTGAAGATGATCATGACGCCATCGAGTACCAGACGACGTTCACATACAAGTTTGCTCAAGCAAATGACGAGTTTCGTCGGCGTTCGTCGGACGTTGGCGGGGTAGACGATGACCTCCTCGAGATGCTCCCTCGCACTCACCATCGCATATTCTTCACGACCATCCCCGCAAAAATAACGGACTTCACCAGCACTCGACAGCTTGTAGAGTGCGTATCCCATGCATTGCTCGGTACGTGTATATTCAGCATGCCCAACTCTTATCTTCGGTTCTCATGTTCATAAATGTCACAGCGCACCAGCAGGCGTATGAGTCTGCGGGGATCCTTCATCGCGGAATTGACGCCTTCAGCATTATGTTTGATAAGGCGGGTTGTGGCTATTTGTGCAACTGGGAGCGATCCAAGTCGCTACAGGAGCTTTTTCGCAGGATGAAGAGTCGTAAGGTGCGTTGTCATGCTTAATGCATCATCCACTAGCATCCCTAATCACAATGTCAACTAGGGAAACCTTCAATTCCTTGCCGTCGACATCCTTCAGAACCCTCGCAACCCTCACTCGCTGCGCCATGATGTGGAGTCCTTCGTTCATCTCCTCCACTATGTCGTGCTCCGTTACCGACCCATCGCGATCACGGACGACGCTCCCACCCACTTGGACCCTCGGACGGAACTTTTGGAGGACATGAGGGCCGTCTTTGACTCATGCACGGTCAACTCTCTCAATACGCTCGTTACGGCCGCCAAGGGGAAGACGACGTTCTTGAACGATCTGAACGGGCAGTTTCTGTCTGCGTCGAACGTGGCCAAATGGATCGCCCACCCACCACTGGCGCGGTTGTTGTTCGATATGCGTCGCCTCTTCGCTGGTGTTTATACATCTCCACCCGCCCCTTTCCCCGATCCAAAGCCTAGGGACATAGCCAAATACAACCAACAACACGCCTCGTGGGCGGCCGCTGTCTCAAAGGCCGCGAAGAAGTTGACGACCCGCGCTCTTCTGAAGCTCTTCACTGATGCGCTTGCTTCCGATGACTGGCCTCAACACGACGGTGCGACGGATCAGTACCCGCCACCAGCAAGGCCTCCGTCAGGAGCCTCAAAGGCCTCTGGTGGTAACCCTGCTAGGACTTTCTTGGATAGTCTGACCGGCACCAAGCGACCCCGGACGTATTCGACTGGCACCGGGAGCCTCCCCGCCCGCGAAGCACCCAGCAAGCGCCAGAGGCTGAACGACGGGTCCTCTCGTCTAGAAGATGATGAAGAACCCCAAGCGGAGGCATTATGCGGCTTCGAAGCCGACAAGGCTCTTTGGACCCTTGAGGCGCACTGTCACTAGATTCTCCATGTTCCAGTATATCAGACACTCCTTTACAGCTCTGTTAACTACGTGCTGCGCACATGACTTGACGCCCCAATGTAATTACCACCAGTGTCTCCCAATTGCATATGCGTTCTCCATGTAACTTTGCGTCTATTGAGATAAGCTTACAAGCCGGTCAGAGCTGTAAGGCTGGTAATCAGTCTTACTGATTGATCCCCTGCACGGCCGGCCCGCTGGGTGACTTTCGATACGCACTCAGTCAGTGGCCGCTGTCAACATATATTTTGGTGGCGTTTCAAGAATTGCCCCCAACAATCGGGCGGTATCAGTTTAATGTCTGTTGAATCAAAAGTCCAATGAATGCTATGATATAATACAATGAAGTGGATATCCGTTCGAACGACTGGTTGTAATAAAGATAAAGTAAGGATTCTAAGGGAGTCACGGTTCTTCGCGTCCCCTGTCGCGTCCAGCTGCCCCGATTGAGCTAGTTCTTGACGATCTGAGTCGCGGCAGCTTAGAGGCCGAAGTCGGGGCATTTTGGGGCACAGAACGTTTGCGGCTACTGCGAGATACGCTCGACAGCAGTGACGGTACGGAGCGAGGCATGTAAATGTCGTCGGCGCCATCATCTGATAGCCACTCGTAGCCGTCGCTGGTGCAGTCTTGAGTCCAGTACTGGAACATTGACAGCATATGCTCTGATGACCGGAACCTCTCAAGAGCGGCGGAATACGAGATTTGATGTTCCTGCAGCTCCTCTAAGATGGCGGCGTATTCTTCGTCGTCCGGTTGGTACAGGGAGAGGTCCGGCTTGCTTGAATACAGCGGTTCAAACGCGTCGCGTAGATCTTCTAGTAGCCCTAATAATGGGCTAGGGCGTATGTGCGCGCGCAACTCGCCGCAGGCAAAGTAGGTGGTACCGGCCAAAAAGCTCGCCTTGGCCTTGCCACCGACGACCCTTCCATTGGGAACGCGCCACCGAGCGCCGTCAAAGACCTCCTTCAAGCTGTCGATGAGGATCGACCGATCGTCGCTGCCTTCCGGGTACATGGGTCGATAGCGCAAGACGTGATAGAAGAGCACATGCAGAAATGACTCCAGGTCGTCACGAAGGAGGTGTGCCCGCGGATCGCGCGCCATGAGTAAGTCGGCGGATATGAATGGCCAAGTGCCCTAGGTACACCGTGAGCGGGTGGAACTAGGTGAATACATATGTGGAAACTCACTATTGGCTGTCCTATACGCTCCATCTCACTTGTATCCTCACACCAGACACACATATCCCAGTCGATGAGGATGCCACGCCCGTCCTTGTCGATGAGAACGTTGCCGCCACTCACGTCGCGATGTAGAACCTTTGCGTGTTGGTACGCAGCAGCATGCGCTAGGAGGATTGTCAGATCGACGCGAAAAGAAGTGAGTGATGCATAGTACATACATTCAAGTGCGTGAGATAAGGCCGTGCACAGCTGGTGCGTACTGTGGAAAGTTTTTAAAGGGCGCCCGATGGTCTTGAACAGAAGCCGATGGTGTGTATAGACAGTGGCGTTCGCGTCATGCACTGTGGTCTTTTGCTTCTGAACGGTCACAGGTGAAGTGCTGTACGATGAAGGCGACGCGGGTGCACATGTGGGCACGTCGCCGCCATGGTAGAAGCCAGGGAGGTGGGGTACGTTGTGCGCTTCCAGTCTCCTGTACGTCGCTGCCTCCGGGACAGAACCAGTCGACACGATACGCCACGCGTCTTTGACATAGACGACAGCTCCTTCATCCAGGTCCACGCCGTAGAATCCTCGCGTCGACCGCCCGAGATAATGTTCAGCAGCCTTGATCGCACGGTGAACAACGACGCGATGGAAGGTCATGCTCTCGTCATCGTAGACCCGCATGAGCGAAAGAGGGCCACGGTAGTTCTTGGGAATGACAGAAGTCTTCGAGATACCCTGTGGTAGAGCGTCCGACTTGGCCAGTATTCCCTTCGCCTGCCGTGCCTCCTGCGAGGCGGAAGGAATCGTAGTCACGGACGTATCCAGCCCGCGCTCAGCGTCGTTCATGTTATCGAAGCGGTAGAGAAAGTCCGCGAGGTCGCCAGAGGTGCGCCATGGGAACAGTTCGGTGAAGGTAATGCCGCTGTGGTCGAAGCGAAGTAGACGCGCGTATTTGGGCATGACGACGAATGCGTAGCAAAACGTGCGGTGCGAGTTGACGGCCACAGCACGCATAATTGCTAGTAGCCGACCTCGCACGGACGCCGCTTCCTTCGAGTCGGGTCGTCCGTCCGCGAACGCGCAAGGGTCGCGGTCCTCGGACGTGATCTCGCCGAACGCGAGAGTCGACCCCAGCAGTTCATCGCGCAAGCGGCGACTGTCGTGATCGATATCGAGCTTCTGGGCGAGGATAGAGATGTCGGGGGAGAGGAAGGTGCCAGTTGTGTGATCCTGCCCGTGTACAGAGTGTGTGGCACGGGGAAAGACCGTGGAACATATCGCGCTGTCGTAGAGACAGTTCGCCTGATATTATATGTCAATTCAGCCCTTCAGAAATGTGAGCAGTGTAGCACGTACGATGGAGGGTGGGTCGGGAATGGCGTGAACGGCGCTGAAGTCGATTGCCGGGGAGGTCGTTCCTGTCGCGGGCAAGAAACGTTCCTGCCACTCGGCGAGCGGTACTGGGCCGTGCCATAGACCGTCCGAAGACTCGGCCTGTTCAAGATATAGTTTCTGGAGTTCCCTTTCGTTGACTAAGTCGCAGCGACAGCGTTGTGCAAGGCGATAATTGTTCTCCAAGGAGGACATGGAAGTTGATGCCGAGTTGCAGCCATAGAAAGAGCTCGCGGAGGACAGTGACGATGGTCGCGAGGATGCGTCTGTACGCAAAGAAGAGCAAGTGCTGCCAGATGCAGTAGAGGATGTGCGTCTGTACGAAACCATGACTGGGATGATGGTGGTAGTTGGAGAGCAACAGAGGTCAAGTTGACGCGGATATTGGCTTGAACCACACTCGCACGTTGAGCCGTTGATCTGACCCGAGGGCGCGGCGCGCTTTTGTTCTCACGTGCGCCCGGCGCATATCGGTCCGGGACCCGAAACCTCGTTCAGACCTCGACTACGACGTTGGGCCTCCACCTCACACAGCTGGCTGTCGCCTGTGTTCAGCTAGCAACGCACCTTCTGCACTTCCGGCTAGTCGTGCGTGATATAGGACCATTTGAGGATCATCTGCGTGGCGTCAAGTCGTGAAACAGCATCAAATCCGCGTCCTTGTCTTCAAGTACCATCTACCATCACGGACTTAGTAGACTACCCTCTTTTCCCTCTTTCCTCTTGTTTTCTGCGAGCACCGAAAGGATGAGCTCTGATGCGTGGGATGACTCGCGGCTGCTCTGGGATCATCCAGCACCTCGCCTCACGCAAATGGATGGCTTTCGGAGATTCGTCAATCGCAGGCATGGACTCGAGATCAGTGAGTCCGTCATGACACAAGGCGCGTGGCAGACGCTGATGTGGTATCCTTCCTTAGAGGGTTACCACGAGCTCCATAGTTACTCCGTTTCTTCCTATGAGTTCTGGGGAGACCTGTGGGAGTACTTGGGCATCATCTACTCAGTCCGTCATACCAAGGTGAAGTGGTCCCCGTCAATGATTGCAGCATAAGTTGACCCGAACAAGAGCAGGTCATAGGCGAGGGCGCCATTAAAGAGGTTCCAAGATGGTTCCCTGGTGCACAACTCAACTACGCAGAAAACATGCTCTGGCGTAATGACGACGCTGAAGCGATCACGGAGAGGCATGAGTCAGGTGTCACCCGGTCATACTCTTTCCGCCAACTTCGCGAACTTGTTCGCCGCATGTCGACCGCGTTGAGAGTCAACGGCCTCAAAGCCGGGGATCGTGTCGCAGGTACGGGTTTGGCTTTCAAACGGTGGCAGATGTGCCTGACTAATGCACTAGCGATCGTCTCAAATAACGCAAACGCGGTTGTGCTTGCTCTATCTGTGGCCAGTATTGGGGCGATATTCTCAAGCACAGGCACTGATATGGGTGTCAAGGTGACCCCCCATGCAGTCTGTATTGTCGGCTTATTCTTAAACCTGACACTGGCAGGGACTGCTGGACAGATACCGTCAGATCGAGCCAACGTTCCTTTTTGCTGAGACGGAGGCCGTATACTCGGGCAAACGTATCGACCAGTTACCAAAGGTCATTGAGGTTGTTGATGGTCTCAAAGATCGTGGACTCCAACACATCGTTCTGCTACCCTCGCCATCCGGACAGGAAGCATTCGACGTCGATCTCAGCAAGATTCCTCTAAGGTGACTACGGATGATACGTGGTTGACATTATGCGACTGACGATTATGTAGCACGAATGTGTCGACGTTTCTGAAGAGCGACGATGGTCGTCCGCTCAATTTTGAGCAGCTTCCGTTCGATCATCCCCTTTTCATCCTATACTCGTCTGGCACAACAGGAGCTCCGAAATGCATCGTTCACTCTGCCGGTGTATGTGGTTTGCATGCTTTCATGGTACATGTACTGATTTCATACATAGGGCGTGCTCATGCAGACGAAGAAAGATGTCTTCCTTCACATGGACATCAGCTTCAACGACACGTACTTCCAGTTCACAACGGTGAGTACACTAGCCGAACTGATTACGTGTTCCAATTTGATCCTTGTAGGCTGGCTGGATGATGTGGCCGTACATGTTGGCTGGACTGGCGTGTGGCGCCCGCCTCGTCTTGTACGACGGGTCGCCTTTCTACCCCAACGTGCAAACATACCTCAAGTTCATCGATGAGCAAGGGTCAGTCTCGCAAGACGCTTTCCGGGAGTTTAAGCCTGTCTGATGGTCGCATGCCTGACAGGGTCAACGCCCTTGGAACGAGCCCACGCTTCTTGTCCGAGCTGCAAGCGCGAGTACCCAATCCACGTTCGTCCATGCTCATCCCCTCGTTTCCTATGCTCATGTTCCACGTCAGTGGAGATCGGAACATTTGAGGCGTTGCGGGTCATTACTGTCATCGGCGCCGTGTTCACAGTCCCACTCTTCGAATGGGCGCACCATGCTTTCGGCAAGGATAAGCTGATTGCCTCGGCATCGGGAGGTACAGATATCTGTGGCTGCTGTGAGTGAATACGTACGCTATTGCTTTCTCAGAACAGTGACTGATCGGACGTCTTAGTTGTCATCTGCTCGCCGTTGCTGCCCAACCATTCTGGAGGTACTTCAGTCTTCGCTATTTGAGCCCCGCCCTGAGCTCGTGACGATCTGACAGCCTTCTCATAGATATTCAATGCAAGGGGCTAGGTATGGCAGTTGAGGTCTTTGATGCCGAAGGGCGGAACATCGAAAATACAGGCGAAGCAGGGGAGCTGGTATGCACACGCCCACATCCATCCATACCCGTCAAGTTCTGGGGTGACGACGAGCGAGGCTCCAAGTTTCTCGCGGCATACTATGATGTATACCCTGGTGCGTGCCCCATTTACCACTTCCGTGCTCAAGTGTCCTAATACGTTGCAGGTGTATGGCGACACGGTGACTTCATCGCGAAGAACCCGAAGACTGGCGGCTTGCGGATTTACGGCCGAAGCGATGGAGTGCTCAACCCCTCAGGGATCCGTTTTGGCTCCGGGGAAATCTATACCGTACTCGAGCGTTTCGCCGATACGATCGATGATAGTATCTGTATTGGTCAGCAAAGGCCCGGTGAAGAGCATGAACGCGTGCTACTCTTCCTCAAGCTTCGCCCAGGTCACACACTCACACCTGAACTCGAGAAATCGGTTCGATTGGCGATACGAGAGGCGCTCTCTCCACGTCATGTGCCGGCGTATGTGCTTGCAGTTGATGACATCCCGGTGAGCTATCCCGAAAGCCTATGTACGAGCGTGTACTGAAACGCTCGTAGTATACTGTCAATGGGAAGAAGATCGAAGTAGCGGTGAAGAAGATTGTATCTGGGAAGGACGTGCAGCCCAACGGGTCCGTCGCCAATCCTGATGCCTTCGCGCTGTACACTCGCTATCGTGATCTGAAGTAAAAGCGAGGACCATGCCCTGTATGTATAAATGTAACAGATATGTACACGAATTCAGCTGTATCGATATGAGGAACACTGCAGACACTCAGTACTTGGAACCTCGTACAAGCTATCATGTATCCTTCCACACGACAGTCTCAACCATATTCTGTAGCAGTCCATCTGCAACGAGATCCTCCTCGTACCCTTCCAGGCAGATCGTGCGAAGCGGGAGCGCTTCTGCGAACGAGCGAAGTTCCAGGCACAACATGATATCCTGTATGGAGACCATACTGGCCTCGATATCCGAGTCCAATATCACTATCGCCAAGCTCGGAAGTGGTATGGGAAGAGGCATCCCCGCGTCCTCGTCGAAGCACCGACTCAGTGCGTTGAATATTCCGGCGAAGGGCAAGGGCCGCATGGACGTCCCGCGAGCGGTTAGCTCCAACGTCTCAACCGCCGGTAGAAGTGCGAGGATTCGTTCCCAATCGCTTGCGGTCGCATAGAACAGAGGGCTGATGGTAAGACGCGCGACTTTCTTGAGATATGGGCCAAGTTGCAGCATGGGCAAACGATAGGCGAGGTTGTTCATGTTTCCAAAGTTGATGGATGTCTTGACCCGTCGCCAGCGCCTCTGTCGGGGAAGTCTGCACAGATTGAGCGAGTCGCCGACGAACTCGAGCGCAGTCTCCTCTCCTTCTATGTCTGTCGCCTTGAACATGGTCTGTATAACCGCGTAGTCCTCCACGGCACCCATATCGGTCCTGCGAATGTCTATCTGGACGGTCCGAGGGACATCAAGCTTTTTTACGAATGTGTCAACCTCCTGGCCAGATGACGGTAATGCGACGTGGAGGTAAACCAACCGAGGCAGGCTGATGACTGGACGCTCCCGCAACTCAGAGAGCGCAACGTTGTCCAACCCAACAAGGATGATGGCCTCCAGGTATGCGCCGGCTTGGATTGCATCGTACAGCTTTTGGCTGTTAAGTCTTACAGATATCCCCTGTAAGGTGAGAGATATGAGAGATGGGGCGACGATTGGCATGAAGAAACCCGTGAATTCGAGGGTTTGTAGATTGCGCAAGACGAGCGGGGCATGCACCTGGTCGGCTGTGGTATAGAGGGGTGACGTTCGAACACGTAGATGTTTGAGGGCGCCAAAATCGTGTGTGCGAAGAGCTCGCTCAATAGGCGACGCGAGGTGCGCTAGCGGAAAGTGCAATTCGAGGTTGATGATGCGTTTTGATCGTGAACAGAACTCTTTGGTGACGTTCAGCAAGTCGACATGGGAACCACTGCGACCGGCTATGCTGCGATGCCCGGTGATCCAGGTGTCCCAGTCCTGTGAGAGGTAGAATCTGAGGGGAACGTGTTCGCCGGCCCTTTCTAGGAACACAAGCACGGCGCGAGGCAACCGGCCAAGCGAGTACGCCCAAAGGGATGGTGTTGCAATACAGATATCCCGCCATGCTTTACAGACGTGCGTGAGTCGCACCCAGCCCAGAGAGCCTGGCGCAGACGTATAGGACGCGCGCGGTTGGTCGAGCTCTGCGGAGCAGGAGAATATGATGCCAAGTATCTCGGGTGGTAGGGAGCTGATGAGGGAGAGTTGGTTTAGTCGACTGTGCGTCTCTCGTAACATATTCTGTAGAACAATGGCGTCTCTTTGAAGCTGCTCCACAAGCTGGATGCGCTCTTGTGGGCGCGTCAAGAGGTTCGCCGCAATCTCGGCGCAGTGCATCGCCGCGAAGCGTTCTTGAAGGTGTTCTGCGCATTCCAGGCCATGAAATATCGACGACAGCGAAACCCTTTGCATTGTGGTCTTGAAGATAGAGTCGGGATCTATGATGTACGAGATTGGGAAAGTCGGGTAGGTAGATTCATGAGTGCAAGTCGTACTGCTGGTGGTCACAAGGAAGAAGCCTCGATGCTGCCCCTCGAAATGGCCGACGGCGGAAGCCGGCCCGTTCGGGACCGATTTGGCGCGCCATTCGACAAGCTCGCAAAGCCGCTTGAGGCCATCTTGAAGGTCGACCACCTTCACGATCATATACGACCATACCCTTCAAGCAAACCCATAGATGTACAATACAGAACTAGGGCCTGTAGCGAGCGTCACCGCCGTCCAACAACTTGTGAGACCGGAGGCAAACATGTCAGCTGTCGCGGGAAGGCCCGCGGAAGGTGTTACTTGATCTGGACATACGGATGCCATTCTTGTGGGCATGAGTGGCTGAGAGTGAGGTCGACGTCTTTCTTCTTAGGTCCATCCCCCATTGCCATAACATGGGGCAGCGCCACCAAATCTACGTTATCGCACGCGTGCGCTGCGAGGACGAAACGACCGGTCACCGACGCTGCGTGGCCGCATACCATCACCAGTGGTGCTATGGCCGCACAGCCTTGCACCTTCTCTCGCGCTTCCTGAGGCTCATATCCCAACCTGATAATGTCCAGTCAATACGCCGCGAGATCGCAAATGTGCAGGGAAATTGGGGCGAGGAACCTGCCGAGGTCGCCGTTGGGCGTGAAGATTACGTCCCTTGCCCGTTCATCGCTTTCCTTTTGCATCTGGCTTGGAACGTCAACCTCGACGACGTCCCAGTATACGTTGCTGGCACGACCTTCTCCAATGCCGTGCAGGACGTTCGGATGGACACATCGGACGGCCGTATGTTGTCTGCGTCAGTCAATACGCGATCAGTGCTGATACTTCCTTCTCCACGCAGACAACGACGACGGCATCACTATTATTGATGTCACGGATCCTTCCAAGCCATCATATTGTTTCAACCAGATTGGCGGTCCCCCCCTCACTGCGGAACAGTACGTTCGGCAGTACTACCCGCAGACTATCGATCTCGCTTCTGTCAACGACGCCCAAGTCCAGGACAACGACACGCTTACGAAAGCAGTCGCAACGGAACACATGGTTTTACAAGCCATATCACCTCTACAAGACGTACCGCTCATGTCCATCGACTCGCTTGTCGAGGCTTGGCCCGAAGATTATTACCGTGCACGAAGGAAGATGTTAGCGGCAGGCACCTACGTGTCCGGGGACCCTGGCTCTCCAGATAACCCTATTCCGGCTGTCTTTACCTCTTACATTTCGTCTCGCCGTTCGCCGCCAGCGATACCGAGCCTAGCGGACATCTCCTTACGCCAAGCCATTCTCTATGCAGTCAACGAAGGCGACGTTGAGTCCATCCAAGATTCTACGTCCCAGCCTGGCCAGCGCGAGATCATCTTCAGCACATTGCGAGACATATCGCCACTCCCTCAAGCTGGTGCAGAGCTGCTCGCCTTCGCCATCGGTCGAGATCACCCCGTCGACGTGCTCAATCTGTCTGGCATCGATCTGACATCCTCTGCTGTCATTGGTCTTGTGCGTGCTGCGGGAAGTGCTCTTATCAAGCTTGATTTGACTGGGAATTCTCGAGTGACGATCAGTGACGTCGTCGACATCCTGAGAGTAGCTCCCAGCATCCGGCAACTGATCATATTTGGTTGTCCTCTCGTTTCTGACGAAGAGATATACGGCCTCCTCGCAACCTCTCCAAAGGCCATCTATACTCTTGAGTTCATTGGACACGACGCATTCTTCCGGCGCCCGTATGATGGAAACCCTCGGTGCCCATATGCTCCATCATTCACCTGCATACTTGGGGATTCTTGGATGCGAAAGTCAATCACCACATCTCTCCCTTACTTCACTCCAAGCCGCCTTCTGCGTTGCATGTACACGCTCTTGAAGCCGTTCGCGGCCGCATACTCCGCTTACACCAAGATAATGCTTCCTCCCAGTGATATCAATAGCGACCCGTCGCTTCCTGATATCGCTCTCACGACCGGCCATCTCTTGAAATCCTCTACGGCTGTCCTGCATGCAGCTTTCGCCGCGTGGGATACCGAAGCCGCCTCAGTCTCGGACGCCGTTCGCTTGGCGCAAGTACAAGGACCCGATCCTTCCGGGCTGAGAGCCAACACGCAACGAATCACGCTGATACCGCAAACGCCAGCGTCTCCGGAGGGTTGGTTATTGCTGCTACAGCCCGAGAACACCCAGACGAGACCTCGCTTCGGTATCGCTCGCAAACGCGTGAACCAACCACCTATCGATTCGGAGCCGGCTACTAAAGGGGCGCATGGCATTGAGGTGTTCACGCTCACCGAGTTTGTCAAAGCGCTTGTGGACGAGGGTCGTCCTGCGCCACCGCCTGAAGACGTCGCGGCGCTCGCTGGAGTCATCGATGCTACCTTCCCGGAGGAACACGGCGATCGTCGATTCGATTCTGCAAGTGCCGCGGCGTTTCTGAAGAGGACACAAAGGCCAACATGGTGATAAAAGCAGAATTATGACTCTAGTCTCTTGTTCCTGCGTCGTGCGGTGACTACTATGGTAGCAAATGATGTACATACTGTCTCGAAGTCACCTCCGTGCTATATCCATACCACCCTCTGGACCAATCTATGCATATGCAGGCAGGTGTGAAGGTATCGATGGTAAGTAACAGCAAAAGGAGTATTTTGTAAGTACCTATTCCCGCTACGCTAGTAGTGGGTCTTGGTGGCACGAACTCAACATCTGGCGTTTTGGAGCCCCTGTAAATTGTGCCTGATGCCGTAAGGCCGTCGGAAGCTCCGGCGGCTTCTGAGGTTAGGGTTAAATGAAGCGAAGTTGGGACTA